CCATTACTCAAGTTTAGATTTAAATTTAGACGAACTACTATAATTAGGATAGACTGAAAGTAATTAATAATAAATGCTTTTTAATGTTTTTATATTATTTTATTTTCCTGGCTGTTATAAATTACAAGAGAAAAAGTATGGCGATCGGTCAAAAAACGGCCCGACAAGATTTTTACATTTTTGGACTCGGAACTTCGAAACGTCGAGATGTGAATAGATGTTAGTTTGTGTATGTGCGTATTCTTATGCATGGTGGGGGACAATATATGAGGGGACAATTTTGTCCACCCAATCTGAAGCTTAATAACTCCTGTGCCTTTTATCGAAAATGTCTGAAATTTTGCAGAAAAGTTTGTATTGGGAGCAATGATGCTATTAAATTTTGGCATTTAAAGATCAAGAAAGTAGGAAAATAGGGGGTGTTACCGAACCCATGGCTTCAAGTAAAGCGTCAACCTACAACTTTGGTGACTCGGGATCTAATCTGGATGAATCTCTAGATGTAATCCTTATTTTCGAGTTGCGTGTTCACGTTAACCCGTTGAATTAGATTCACAGTTAACAAGTAAATCTATGGAACCAATTATTCCCATCAAACGAGGGCCATTATACTGTACATGTTAAAAGCTAAAGAGGCTAAAGTAAGAGCGAATTTATTTTTCTGCAATACATTAGTCTATTTCAGGGGTCTCCAAACGTTTTAGCCTAAAGGCCACACAGACTCCTCCATTAAATCTCAAACGTCTGATGCAAACCCTCTACCAATGTTCAATAATTTTATTTACTTTACCAGTGGCTGAGTGGACTCTACCACGTGAATAAAATCACCTGGTTCGCGCTTCATCTACAGGCTGGCCATATGGAATTTTCCGGGTTTTCTTCACGTTAGTAACACCTATATAGGGGCCAGTTCCCCTTAAAAAGTTTTCTCTCTCGACAGATCATTCACGTCACGCGTTTAAGTATACAAACAAACCAATCAAATGTCATTTAGCATAGTCTTGTATTAGGTCGTATTTTATTTTAAAGATTAAGCTATATTATATTTTACTTTACTAAATTAACTTTGAACGAATTATTTGTGTTTTAAATAGGAATGGGGCATTCAGAATTCAGATAACGTTGACATTGGCAACAGCTATTCTAGGACTGGAATTTATAATGAAACTGCTAATTCCTCTGGAAGACAAGACAAAGTAGGATCTGAAAATAGCGATGAAGACGAAGCCCATTCAGGAAATTCGACCAGTGAGTATTTGTAGTAATTACCACTTTTCACGTTTTACTAAATAAAAATTCAAAAGACGTCACGTCAACATGTGTGTTTACGGGGGACCAGGAACTGAGCCCCGTACCTCACAACCGATTAAAAATGATTAAAAAAGGCCTCCTAGTTAGGTGGTAAGAGTAAAAAATCATGACAATATTCAGAATTAAATAAAATCATTTTGGTATTATAAGAAACTATTCTCAAACCCAAGTTTTACTTTAATTTTCCTGTCTGTTACATATAGCAAAGGAAAAGTATGGATATCGATTAAAAATCCATAAATTTTTAAATTTTTATGCTCGGGACCACGAATCCTCGAAAGATGCAAAAGAATATGTGGGTTTCTGTATGTATGAATGTTTTCGTGTATGAGGACACAAATTTGTTTATTCTGTTTGAAGCGTAATAACTCCTGTACCATTTGACAAAAATTTCTGAAAATTTGCAGAAAGGTTTGTGTGTTAGGAAAATTAATAATAATTAAATTTTGGTGATTAAAGGTCGTGGGGTGGAGAAATAGAAGGGTCATGGGTCATACTTCGAGTGGAACTTATCCATTAGACGAGTTATTAATCAAATAAATGACTATTACCTTCGATTTTGTTTTTTTCATACTCTTTCCGCCCTGTGAGCACTAAGAGGGCCTCTTATAGCAGACCCATTATGGGTTCGGCCAGGCCCACAATGGGGCGACCGAGTGGTAATGAGCAAGGCCCGACATATTCGAACGGACCACCCCCCGAAAAATTCCTAGGGATTCCTTGACCCGTCCGGATTCGATGACCCCAGAGCGGTGGGCTGCCACCTTGACCGCTCGATTTTGGTATTAGAAACACGAAAGTCTTTATTTTTCCTTTTAATGCACACCGTCGTAACCTGTCGTTTCAAAAAGAAATCTTTTGTTTGAACTTGAGTTATACATGAGGCTGAACTTAGTTTGTTCTCATCCTAGGCTGTAATATATAACAGGCCCTTTCCCTCTACGAAATAATGACACTTTAGAAATATAAAAACCTAAGTTATCGATTCATAACATATTAGTTATAAAATAAAAGTAATTGCGTGCTATTCGCAAACGACGTGTATGAATGGATAAGCGAATATGTTCGATGGTATATTTCCCAAGAGGCTCATTAAGCGCGTGCGCTAGGACCTAAAAATTGCATAGCAAAAAGAGTAGGGGAGACCGGGGCAACTTCGGCATGCGGGGCAAGTTTGTCAAGCGCTTTTTTTTAAAAACAAATTAAAAGGAGACTTTGGTTATAGGTTAGGCAGTTGAGTTTTATTGGTGGCTTGTTGAGTGTAGTGTTTTTATTGTTNCTGCAGATTTTTTTTGAATAAAATAGTGCAATAAAATTCCCCGCAAATACTCTTTTTTTAGCACGAAACTAGACATGTTTAACACAATGAAAAAATAAGTTGTTTACACTTCGGTGAAATGACGTATACTGAATTTCAAGGTCGCTTATTGTACTTCCTTACAGATGTGTCACCATCTAAAAATGAACACACGTGGTTCTGGTAACACCATCTGTTGGAAAACAGCGAGAACTTATTCAAGATATTTTGGGGTTGAATATGCGACATTATCTAAGATAAGTGTATATAAAACATAACTGCCTAATTTCGTAGCAATTGGTCGAACGGTTTAGGAATGTATAGCGAACATCCAAAGAAACATTCTCATTTTTATATGTAGATTGTGTAAAAATGCCTTAATGCTGTCCATAAATGATATCTATACTGGACGGGAAGAAGAGGGTATGACAACTCAGACTATGGGAAATGAGGATTAAACTTCAATGGACATCTGTTTTATTTCGTTAATTTTTATACAGTTTATGCATTTTATTATTCATAAAGTGATAAAGATTTTAAGAAAGATTGAGTTCTGTTGAATGCCAGAAGAGAGAAGAGTTTACAGAAAATTTACAAACTGAGAAAACGGGGAGAGGGGAAGTAAAAATTGATTTAAAAATTGTGGATGTCATTTATAGACAGTCCCTTACTTATATAGTAAACAACAACAATATAACGTGTGCATTTGCCATTACTAATAAATCTGAAGACCTGTAAATCGATACAGAAAATAATGTGGACAAATGGGTATCTAATTATTCAGATAACCACATTTTCGTAGTCACAATCTTCCTTTAAAACCGAAATATGCGTATAATTTATGGTGGCATCCATCATAACTTCTGTTTTCAGTTGCTACAATAGTGCTGCAACTTAATGCAAAAATAGCTTAAATATATTACCATTACTTATACCGATACTTTTCTGATATCGAAATGTCCCGATACCAAAAAAGATGAGAGATATATATTTACATTTATACAGGACTTTGAAACGAATTTTTTGCTTTTCTCGGATGCAAAGTATTTGGGAGTAATTTGGGGGTATAGATGTTTGTGTGTGGGACGAGTTTGTTCATTCTCTTTGAAGCCTAATAACTCCTCTGCTTATTGTTACAATTTTCTGAAATTTTGCAGCTTGGTTTGATTATTAAAAGGATTGAGGCATTTAAATTTTGGTGAGGAAAAGTCAAAGGAGTGTAGAGATAATGGGGGTCATGTGTATATCCAGTAAGGTTGAACTTAATGACGATTTTACTCGATAATAGCATTTACAATTTTTTTATATAAAACTCATCTCTATCCTAAAAATTAAGCTTTTTGCCGTTTTATAATAGTTAAAAATATTTTTTCAAAAACAGTTTTAATAAAATATGATAACAGATGGCGCTACCAAAATTTTAAATATTGCCGATAAAGTTGAGCAACTCGTTGCTGATTTATTTAACTTGAAAACTCATTTAAAAAGTATTGAAAGATTTGTCATAAATAAAAAAGTGTAACAGTGGTCAATTTATCGAAAAATTATCATACAAATTTCTATAAATGTGAATTTTTAAACTCAAAATTGATAGAAGTTAGGAAAAAAACACAGTGAAAACATGGTAAAGCAATTTTTCTTAAATTATTCATTAATCTTCATAACAGAAATCGATAATATAAAACTATAATAATACACACAATCGATGTTAAACAGCATTATTTTTATTTAAATTCTTAATTGAAAAACGCATTCACTGATGTTAGAACAATTGCAAGTGTAAATACTGTGTTTTTGATGACAGTGATGATGTTGCGAATTATTGAAAGACATACATAAAATAGTATAATACATACTACATGAAAAATATTTATAACATTGAGTTATAGCAAAATATTATAATTAAACACGAAATTTGTTTATAAAATTTCTGTTTGCACTCTATGTATTAGTGTATATTGAAAATTTGAGGCATATTTTATCGAATAAGAATACTTCATGCGGATACTATTGTGTAAATAAACAATTGCTTATATATATCATGCCTGATTGTACAAAAACTACTTATTGTATAACGTATATTTCATCTCAACGGAGTGTAACACCTTTTAACTTATTGAAACGAAAGAGATAAAACTATAAATTCGACTATCTTCTATTATCAGGACTTATTATACTGGTTTTACAGATAATATTACAAAGATTAACAGAAAACAATTTTTATTTTATTTCGTATACCTGGTATACGAAATAAAATAAAAATTGTTTTCTGTTAATCTTTGTAATATTATCTGTAAAACCAGTATAATAAGTCCTGATAATAGAAGATAGTCGAATTTATAGTCGAAAATTTACATATTAATAAGGAAAAAAGGACATTGAGGCAGTTTAATTAATGAAAGAGATAAGAATTGTGAAAGAGATAAGAATAAGAGATAAGTGAAACAACAATTCGTAAAAATGTCAACAAATAAAGTAAGCCTTTACAATAAAAGTAAGATACAAAAAACATGTTTTCGTAAAAGTATTGTCTTCAGTAAACACTGCCAATGTCTTAAAAATTTCGCCGTTATTCGTCCATTAGATTTGATGTAATACAAGACTGGATATCTTATTGAACCCATTACGTAGCCATTAATTACAGACAGAGAAATGCTGCTGTTTTATATAAATATGTTAATTTGCCCATACAATATGAAAATTTAATTTATGCGATTACAATATTTATTTAAAAAACTGCATTTATAATTAACAACAAAGCATAACCGATTAATTTCAAAGGGTATTTTCGATAACCTCACAGAAATTTCAATGTATGATGTGCAATTTCACATTTAATAATAATAATAGATGATTCTGCTTCAGTGATATAATTTAATAAAAGTAATTTCACAAAATTACAAATCTAGTTTTTTCACTAAGAATGTACAAAAGTATTTATTTCTGTGAATATTACGTCAAAAAATAAAATAAAAACAGTATTAAATTAAATTGAATATTAATATCGTTAATGCAGAGTATGTTTCTAAAATATGTTCTCTGTTCTATTTAATAAAAACTTCTCTGCATTAGAAGTTGAATAACACATTTTCTGTTTTGTCATAACTCCTGTTATATCCACTGTAGACGAGAAAACGGAATACAGTCTACTTACCATCTGAAAACAACCAAAATTATGTAGATAATTCAATGAACATTTTAAAAGATAGATAACACTACACGAATGAAAGTATAGGCCTATAGTAATATTTATAAAGTTATAAATGTTACCCGAATTAAGAAATCTCTTTTAACATAGAAAAAGCCTGCTGCAGATATACCCATGGTTGCTCTGAATCTCCTCATGAAACATATCAACTGAAAAATATTAAGCATTCAATTACGAAATAAGTTATTCTAAAATTATGAAATGTGTTATTAAAATTTTCATTTATTCTACAATATTATTTAAAGTGAAATATATATATATTAAGGTGTATACCTTAAATTTGAATTCTACACATAAATTTTGAGAAGAAAACTTCCCCTTTAAAATGAAGTTGCTGTACAGCTGAAAAATAAGATTCATATCAATATTCTGATAAGATATTGCTACTGATGTCTTAACACTTGATAAAGAATTTAAAATTTAATTTAAGCATTTTTAACAATTTGTTATTGTTAAGAAGTAGTTTAAATAGTATGTTTGAAAATAGAAAAAGTTCCGATTAAATACAACCTCTGCTTGACTTACGATCCGAAAAACACATCGCGAATGAAAAATAAAAATAAATAAGAGCAAATAGAATGTAGTTAAAGATTAAATCTACGACTGAAGAATGTAGTGTTTAATTCCAAATTGATTCATATCAATTTGCAATAAAATACAGTAGTAAAGTTATAAAAATGACATTAATTTGTTTAATATGTTAATTATAACTTAATTACTACGAGTAAATTTATTATAACTACAGTGATACCTCGGTATACGTCTGCTTTAGAATACGTCCTGTTTGGACGAAATAAATTTTGCTCGGTATACGACTTAATTCAATTATACGCGCCATCTATGAACAAGTAGCACTATCGGTGTACTAGACCAGACTAGACGTTCGCGGTGCAACGGTTTATTATTTAGTTAAATTTCTTTTGGTTTTAATTTGTATGTAAAATTTTATTATTTTTATGAGTCATGAATCTCTAAAAGGCAAATGAAAAGCGACATAAAACTAAAAAAATGACTAGAATCACAATGGAACTGAAAAAAGAGATTCTTGAGAAATATGAAGGTGGCACGCATGTTCGAGATTTTAACTGTTGCATACCGTATTCCGAGAACGATGATATCGACAATCGTGAAAAATAAAGACATTATTAAATCTGCTAACGTTGCGAAAGGGGTTAAATCAATTTCTAAACAGAGATCGAAGACATTATATCGTGTCGAGAAATTGCTTTTGCTTTGGATAACTGAAAAACGTGTGCTGGCGACAGCGTATCGGAAGCAATTATTTGCGAGAAAGCTAAAAAGATATACGCTGATCTCGTGAAAAATCAAGCAGGAACTAGCCAGGAAAGCGAGGTGTTTAATTAAAGCCAGCCAGTTTTTTACGTGAGAACGGATTAATCATTTTTACATTACTTCTTATGGGAAAGGTTGGTTCGGTATACGTCCAATTCGGTATAAGTCCAAACATCAGGAACGGATTAAGGTCGTATACCGAGGTTCCACTGATAATTACAAACAATAAAGTTTATTGTATATACGCTTTTGGTAAGTATTACGAATAAACAAAAAACTATACAAAGTTCCAGAAATTAACATAAAATAATTTGTTATATATTAAACTGCGTTATTATTCGAAAAAATACTTATTATTTACCGAAGACTTTAAGTACGATAATGCCCATGAACTTACAAGACATCCAGTAAGACAAACGACTGCCAGAAAAGTAATCAACATTCGAATACTTAGTTTTATGTCATAAAATATTGCCATAAAGCTGAAAAAGCATGTTTCATATAGAAAATGAAGATAAGTCAAAGAGATTAAAGTTTTCCATTTTTCATTTAACATTTCGAAAATCTGCCATACTTCTGTGTGCTTTTCACAAATATCATGTAATTGTTTTACTACATTGTAGGAATACAGACGAATTTCATTTAATTCGTTCGTTAAGTTTGAAAGTCTTTTAACAATTATAAACCAAGAAATAACGAAAATTAGAAGTAGTGAAAAAATATGTCCAATAAAATACAGAGTGATTAACTAAAAAAATTAGAGTAAAACAACAAGCTTCAAAGTCACTTCCGTTTTGCTTTTTAATATACAAATAAACCACTATTATCCAAACATTTAAGATTATCAGAATGAAAAATAATGCGATAACTAAATACAATAATAAGTATATTTCAATTTCTTCAGCCAGTTTCCTTTCTTCTTCACACGTGCTTTTCATGAAATGTACATTAACTTTGTTTCTTCTCAGTATTGAATATTGTAATGCTATGTATAAATTCATAATAAATAATACCAAAACGTAATGCGTTGAGTATTTTCCTGCTACGTTGTATGCTTTTTGGCATAACATGTTGTCATCAAACATGTGTAAAAGTAAACGAATTGTGGATAACCATAGAATGACTTCTACAAAAGTTTGGTAAATGTGGTATAATCTTGACCACAAATGCTGATATTTTGACTTTTTCTTCAGAATCAGAAAACACTCACATTTCTCAATTAGATCAATTCCAAATGGTTTGGCGATAGCCTCAAGTGGATAAAAATTATATGCAGGGCAGCGGTCACATCGTGTCCATGATGACACGACGTCCTGTTTATTATTGAAAACTTTAGATCCGTGGTTCTTAACCTGTGATCCGTGGACCACTGGTGGTCCCTGAAAGCACCCGAAGTGATTCGCGAAGTTATCCCAAAATTATTAAATAAATGACGACGAGTTGATGACAATGCGCAGTACGTCAAGGTTAGAGCCGATAGCAGACTGGGCTTGAGTATAGTGCGCGGTCAGAAAATATGAAATTAAAAAGCACTAGCAATAAATTTGCATTTGAAGATAAAATCAGTGCGTTTATCGCTAAAATCAACCTATGAATCAGCAACGTCGAAAGAGAGAATTTTTCTGCGTTTGATACATTGAACCCAATTATTGATTGACAGTGTGCTGAGATTAAAGGACAAATACAAAAGACCATTACATTCCATTTGCAAAGCTTGAAAAATGAATTCAATCGCTATTTTCCTGACTGCAAGGACAAAGGTATTCGGAAACTGATTTCCAATCCTTTCATAGTCAATATTTCTGAGGTGCCGGATGAAATACAAGAAGAGTTAATTGAAATGCAACATGATAGTAACTGCAAGAATACATTCGAGACAGGAATTAATCTTAAAAGATTTTTGGAGCCAAAAAGCTATTGCTTTCCCTAAAATTCGAGAAATTGCTTTACAGT